CCGCCTTCAGGGTGGGGACTCTGTGCAGGCACCCCCGCACGGGCTTGACGCATGACACATGGCGCTCTGTTTCCTTGTCGCCCGCACGCAATTGGCCCCTTGCAGCTGTGAACCCTTTGGCCCCAACTCCCCCGCTCCCACCCACCCCGTTCATCCCCCTCCCCTCAACCCCTCACCTCCTCACCCCTACGTCGCCCTCCGCTCACATACACCTACCCCACAGGCGACCTCATCGACTTTGAAGCTACCGCCTTCATGAATGAGGGTCGCGGCCACAAGCGGTTTAGGGAGGTGATGCGCCCCGCCTTTGACGCGTCGGTGGTGGCCGGAAGCTTCCTGCCCGACATCGCCGCCATCGTGGCGGGCGCGCTGGAGGCCGCGGCGGCGGCGGGCGGGCCGGTGTCGGGCTACGGGGCGATGAAGCGCCTGACCTTTGAAGTGATCATGAACGTGAGTAATGTCATAAGAACATGAGTAATGTCGTGAGAAGATTGAATGGGCAGCCGGGGTTGAGTGGAGGCGGATCTGCATCTGCGCGTGTTGCGTGTGGGCCTTTATATTACAGAGGGCGATAGAGCGGCAGGTGGCACAGGCCGTACGGGCGTGCGGGTGGGCCTTGGCCGCAAGCAACGCTGCAAGCCTGTACTGGCGCGCCCAGCCAGCCAGCTGCAACCAGCTGTGTTAAAGTGGTGTATCAGCTACGCAGCACCTTTGACCTGGGCTTGTATACCGATGATTTGTCCCCTCATCAACCGCCTCACAACCGCCCCCACCTGTCCCCTCACCACCCCTCCCCAAGGTCATGATGGGCAAGGCGTACCCTCCTGCCGAGGTGGACCGCCTGCACCACCTCTTCAACGAGTTCACAGGTGAGCGGCGGCTAAGGGCGCGTGAGGGAGCGCGGTTGGTGGCATCGGAGCAAGCTCTGGGCCTGTGTGCTGTCGTTTTGGAACAGGGGCATCCAGGCCGGCCGAGGACCTCTGCAGTTGTCTGGCACAGGGATAGGTCCCCACTCTGTTCAGTTTCAAGTCGTTGTCATCATGACGTCATGACCAGGTCGACGAGCACACATTGGCATCTCGGAACCATCCCCTGCCGCCCCATCCAATCATGCAACCCCGCGCCCCCTGCCACCTGCACCGTCACATCCCAACCCAGCCGGCATGGCCAGCTTCCCCCAGATGGACCTGCCATTCCTGCCATATGGCAAGGCCATGTCAGCGCGCCGGCAGCTGCTGGATATCTTTGACCGGGACATGGCAGCCGCACGCGCGGCGGCGGCGGAGGGGCGGCCGGTGGCCGGGCAGCTCGGAATCATGATCTCTGCGCTGGACGAGGATGGCAACACGTGCGTGCGCGCGCGTGTGTGTGTGGGGGGGTGGGATGAGGGCGTGGTGCGCCTGGGAGCGCATGCGTGCATGTCCATGGTTGCTTCCGTGTGTGTGCACACGTGCTCGTGCACACGCAAGCGCGTGTCCAGTTGGTTTGCATGTGTGATGTCGTGGATACCCGGCTGATGGGGTCAGGCGAGGCAGGCAAACCGCCTTTGGGCACAGACATATCCATGGCCTCTCCGACGCGCCTTGTACCGCAACAACGACAAGAGCACCTCCCCTGAAAGCCAGATGACATGACACCATGACCAACCGATCTTGACCGCCCCCACTTCCCAAACAGGCTCATGGATGACCGCGCCGTAAAGGAGATACTCTTGGGCCTCCTCTTCGCCGGCCACGACACAACGTCCACCTCCCTCACCCGGCTCATCGCGACCCTGCACGACCACCCGGAAGTCACCGAGAAGCTGCGGCGGGAGCAGGAGGTTTTGGTGGAGAAGCATGGCAGGGGCGTCAGCCCGGGGCTGATGCGGGACATGGTGTACGCTGACGCCGTCATCAGGTGTGTGTGTTATGCGGGTGTGTGTTTTTGCATGCGCGAGTGTGAGTGTGTGTGTGTGTACGTGTGTGTACGTGTGTGTGCGCTACTGCATGTGCACGCGCGCACGCATGTGTGTGTGTGTGTGTGTGTGTTTTTGTGCGTGCGAAGGTGTGTGTGTGTGTGTGTGAATGTGCGTGTGTGTGTGACACAAAGAGATAGACAGACAGTGAAAGAGATTGTGTGTGCATGTGATTACGTGAGTGCGTGTTGGTGCGTGCCTGCATGCACGTGCGTCGCACAATACCCCCAGACGCCCCTGCCCCCCAGGCTTCGTCCTTGCTCTGCCGCCGCCCTCAACTTTAAACCTCACATCCCCCTTGAAATTCCCGCCGCCCCCTCCTCCCCCCGCAGGGAGTCCATGCGGCTCAACCCCGTGACCAACGAGCTCTTCCGCTCCGCCATCCGTGACTTTGAAATGGGCGGCGTCCGCGTGCCGGCCGGCGCGTCCATCTCACTGCCCATGGCCACGGTCACCGCCTCCGACCCCCGCTGGGCCGGCAAGACTGGGGAGATGGACCCCAACGTATTCAACCCCGAGCGCATGCTCACCCCTGAGGGCCTGAAGCCGGGGGACCAGATGCCGTTTGGGCACGGGGGGCGCCACTGCCTGGGGGTACACCTGGCAATGGCTGAGATGAAGGCGTTTTTGGCGCTCATGGGGCAGGGGTACCGGATCGAGGCGGACACCAACACCGAGTGGCAGTACGGCGTGGGGCGGGTGCCGAAGAACGGGCTGCCCATGGTGGTCACGCGGCTGTGAGCGCGCGCCCGGCGGGGCTCGCGCCAGGTGTGGCGGGCCGTGCGTGCATACCGCTTTGTTTTTTGCAGGCGAGCCAGGCGCGCGGCGGGCGCGGAGGGACGCGGCGCGCACCCGGATGGTCAACGAACGTTTCCCCTTGTTTGACCGACTGCACCAACCGGTCCGAGCACTGCAGGAGTGATGTCGCGTGCATTTGCACCGCTGCTTCGCTCCTCCAACATATGCGCTCACTCCAGCCATTGCTTCTGGACAGGCCCCCCGTCCCAAGGCAGGCCCCTGATATTCACGTTGTAGGCTAGGATGCTTAGGCTCTTTGGGGGGTTTCCGCTTTCCCCATGGCTGCTGCTCAGCGTTTCGCGGTCAGCAATTTGGTTTTGCGGCGTCCGCGCGCCATGTGCACGTCCGATGATAATGCCTTTGGCTGACAATGCCATTGGCTGGCAAGGCCACGGCCATGGGCTTTGGGGGATTGCGCGGTCAGGGGGCGCATGCTCTGACACGGGCTGCCGCACATAAATCCAGGGACCACCCTTGTGTTTTGTGTCCATGATTGGTGGACCGGACATGCTGAGGCCTTCCAAGCGACAGGGGTGTGTTATGGGTCCGCTTTCGGGGAGGGGCGTCGAGGTGTCCCGGCCTCGGGCCCCATCGAAAACTGCAGGGCCTGCTCGTTGTGCCAGGCAGGGCCCCCCTTCTTTCCCCATACGCACAACATATCGCGCATTAGGGTTCTCGCGCCGTGACACGTGGCGCAATGAAGCCCCTGGCCTGCGCTGGAGCGGTTTGGCGCTCCCACAAACGGTCATTTTGGAACGGTGGAATTTTCTGACCTTACGCCTCTGAGGATTCACTGGGCTCATTCAGTCCGAACCCCTGTTAGGCCTCGTGTTTCTAGGTCGCCTTCAGGTCCCACACATTTCGAATTCGATGCCCTGCCGCGTCGCTGTCATGCTGATGCGCGTGCAAATGGCGCGCATCGCAACAACTGCGAAGTGGTGTTACTGCTGGATCCAGGGCATGCGGCAGCCGCGCCTGCTCTTCTGGCGCTGCCTGCATGCATGTTGAATCCCCACTGAGGCCTTGACGCGTGCTTTGTCTCTGCGTGCTGTATATCTTGGCGCTGCTCCCCTGAGTACGCCCGAGTAAAGCTGTTGCTTGGATGGCTGCCAGGGTGAACTGTGTGACGGACGGCTCGCTGGGAACAGCAGTTTTCAGGTGGGCCTTCTCATGCGTTGGGACCTGGTGGGATGACTGTACTGACGTGCCGCCATGTGTTCAGCACCGACTTTTCTCTGCATCCCACTGGGACGCAGAAGGAAGCTGGTGCGGAATGACTGATGGACGACATCATGCTGGAGCCAGCGGCCAGGCCCAGCTGCGATCCACTCAGCTTCACAAGCATTGACTGGCAGGAGCGAGCACCGTCGCACCCCTCAGAACTCTGCTGCGCCTCAGCAAGCGGGGCTTGGCTTGGGAATGATGCGTCCACTGTTGAGTGTTGATTAGTGAGGCCTGGTACACAAACTTGCATGCTTGCACCTATACAGCACTGCTCGCCAGAGTGTATATATTTGTGTATAAATCCTGTACGAACATGCGAGGGGGCAAAGCAAGCTCGCCCCAGGTGTGCAGTGGGTTTACTCGTTCACGTGTCGTGGCGTGAGGGCAACATGTATGTGCAGGACAGGCTGGGTTTTGTGAAGTGTGTAGGTCAGGATCCCTCTTGAAACAATTCAAAGTTGTGGTGGGCAGCCCTCATCATAGGATCGCAGGCTCCGTTCCCAGAACGCTGACAGCGGCACGAGTGTTGACTTCTGCCGGTGACGACCGCCATGCACAGAGTGCGATCGAACCTTGTACGGGAGAATTTTATTCGGTGGCTATAGATCCATAGCACTCATTTATATACTGCGTTCGGCGCATCATCAGCAGGTTCAACCTGTACTGTCATTATAGATCAACACGATGAGTCTGTGGGGCGCGCTGGGCCTGTTGCCCCAGGATGAGGTGCGGAGTCACACAAATTTCTTGTGTGTCGACTCTTGCTTGATTCGGCCACTCCGGCTGACACATCACTCCTCGATTTGCAGGACAAAGACGAACCTAATGTTGCAGGGAGGGCTGTTAGGTGCGCTGTTGTATAACATTGCTGGCACGCAGGCCCTCAGGCGGCCGCGGGCATCCCAGCGTGTGCACTGCCATCCTCGCTGACTTGAACTGCTGCGCATTCGCGCCCTTGCTTGCGCACAGGCATACCAGCAACCGCCTGCATGCCCCTCCTCCCCACGCCCTCGCCCTCCCTCTCACCACTGGCACTCCACCGGCAGCAGCGGCGGCGCCGGTCCCCAAACAGCAAGCAGCCAGCAGCAGGCCCCCGGCGCGCCCCTCTCCAGCCTGTGGGGCATGGCCAACGCCGCCGCCGCGGCCGTCCGCGCGGCCGCGACCGACGTGGCTCGCAGCGTCCATGAGACTGATTGGACGACAGAGCTCGCCGGTTTCTCTGAGGAGGTGTCGCAGGACGCGGAGCGCGTGGGCACAGAGGTTGGCGGCGCAGTGACCGAGCTCGGCCATCGGGCCAAGGAAGCCGCAGAGGCGGCCACAGAAGCTGTCAAGCAGCTGCCCGGCCAGCTCGATCGCCTGGAGGCAGCGGCGCTCGCGGGCGATGCGGGTGAGAAGGCAGGGCCCACCGGCGGCGGCGGCGCGGCGGCGCCTGCGGAGACTGGCGGCGGGGAGGGCGACAGCAGTGGCGGGGAGGGCGGCGGCGGCGGCGGCACCGTAGGCCTGGGGCTGCCTCTGCCGATCGATTTGGGCGGCGTCGGCGCCTCGATATCCCAGCTCGGGCTGAGCCTGTTCTCTGGCGTCACTCGGGTGGTAGACCAGGTGGGCGGTGCGAGTGCGCGGCAGAGGGTATCACATGGGCTGACTCATCAGCCGGCGTCGCATTCACCCACATTCCTCGCTTGCCTGTGCCACCGACCTCGTTTTGTGGCTGTTTGCGCATTGATTGCACCAGGTGCTTGCCGACTCCAACTAATGTATCCGCCTGTGCCTACATGACTCCGATGTGTTGACGTGTGATGATGTCGCTGCAAACCAAAACCGCCAGATGACTGATATCGTCGAGGGGGAGCTGACGGCGGTGGTGGAAGATGCCCAAAGAGGGACGATCGACGGCATCAGCATCGATGGCCCAAAGCAGAAAGGCCGCAGCGACGGCACGGGCAACGCCGCCAGGAGCGCGGGCAGCAGGAGCGCCGGCAGCCTGCGGCGCGGCGCGGCGGCGGGGTCGAAATCGAAATTTGATTCTGAGGTGGAGCTTGTGATTTGATTTGGGCGGGAAACAGGACGCCCTGCATTTGGGTGTGCTGCGGCTTTGCCCGCACGTTCAAATCACGGCCCACCCAAGCAGTAACGGCCAGCGCTGCTGCCTGCGCCGGCTGCCTGGGTGACGTCATCCCCCACAAGCACCCTCAACCATGACCTCGCCCACCCCCCACATCCACGCTGAATCCGCCCCAAAACCGTCCCCGAAACGGCCCCAACACCATTTTCTGACAGGTCGCCGCGATGCAGCGGGACAGCAGCACGTACTGCGACGAGCCGCCCGACGCCGCCGACTACGCCGCGTGGCGCGGCGCGTCGTTCGACCTCGCGGCGCACGAGCCGCGTATCGCCGCCCTGCTGGCGGCCAACGCCCTGGTTAGGGAGCTGGAAGAGCGGCTGGTGCCCCTGCTGGTTGAGAGGGACGAGTTCTGGTCGCGCTACTTTTACAGGTGGGGCGGGGCCGAGGGAGACAGCGTTCTTCGGTGCTGGGCAGCGGGGCGCATTTTCATAGCAGCGCTCGCAACCCGGCTGCGACAAGGTGCCATTTCGCGGCTGGGGGCGTGGATGCGCCTGTTTGGCAGCGCGGGCGCAGGCAGAGTCTCGCGAGCCGATTCCGTTGCGAGCGCTGGTGCTCGGCGGATGGGGACGAGAACTCCCTGCCTAAGCGTGGCCGGCTGGGGGCGGGGGCGTCCGCAATGCAGTGAGAGGAGCGGCAGTAAAGACAGCGGCGCGATGTCGCCATGTTGTGGCTACCGATGCCCATCCGGCACTCTCCCTGACTCCCCCTTTGCGCACCACACTTAGTATCCAATCAGTGTACATAATTGTGTTTGTTTGCCTGCAATCCCATGCACAAAGGCTACAAAAGCTGGAGCAACGGGAGGCGGAGAGGCGCCAGCAGGCAGCGGAGGGAGACGAGCAGGCGCTTCCTGTCGCTGCTGCAGGAGACACCCCCCCAGCCGCAGCTGGCGCGGGGACCTCTGCCAGGGCGGCGGCCGCCTCTGCAAGTGCGGCTGCAGAGTTTGAACTGATCGCCGCTGCTGTGGTTGGCGCAGGTGCCGCAGCGGCTCCTGAGGACGAGCGTCAGGCGCAGGGCGGCTCACAGGAGCAGCAGCAGCAGCAACAGCAGGAGCAGCAGCAACAGCAGCAACAGCAGCAAGAGCAGCAACAGCAGCAACAGCAGCAACAGCAGCAACAGCAGCAACAGCAGGAGCAGCAGGTGGAAGGGCGAGACGATGGCCAGGAGCTGGACGGCGCGGCGGACGGCAACGGCGATGCCGCCAGCAGCGCCGCGGTTGCAGAGGGACGTGCGCCAGCGCAGCACGCGCCCGCGCCCTCGCCCGCCGCGGAGGCGCCCGCAGGGACAGCAGGGGCGCGGGCAGAGGAGGAGCCGGCGGTTGCTGGGGCGTCAGGGGGCGCGGATGCAGGTCACAACATCCCCAAGCTCCCAGGGGCCTCGGCGGCGCCCTCAGCCTCAGCCAGCGGCGCGCCGCTCTCCGCCGCCGGCGCGCGCGCCGCCGC